TCATCATTCCCTCATGCCCTAATGGCTCAGGCACTCAACACTGGGGAGAGAGAAATGGGGACAAGCTGCCTGCCCCGCAGTCCCAGGCACCAGTGACTGGACTTGCAGCCCAGAAAAGGGACAAGTTCTTCCCGTCCCGCGGTCCTGGGCACATGTGGCTGCAGCCTGGGCGATGCCACCTGCCTACAGTCCCCTGTGGCTGCAGCCGGCCCAGGCGAAGCTGGTCTGGATACTGGGTGCCTGGGGGCTGTGCAGGGCAAGGCAGAGGCGGTTAGGGGTGATCAGGCCAGCAGGAGAGTAGTTAGGGATGATCAGACTGGTAGGGGAGCAGTTAGGGGTGATCAGGCAGTTAGGCAGAAGTGGTTAGGGGTGATCAGGCAGGCAGACAGAGAGGTTAGGGGCGATCAGGCAGGCAGGCGATCCCGGATTGCAAGAGGCAGTCAGACATCCCTCGAGGGGCCCTGGATTGGAGAGGGTGCAGGCTGGGCTGAGGGATCCCCGCTCCTCTCCCGTGCATCAGTTTCATGCACCGGACCTCTAGTTTATATATAAAAGCCTAAGCGACTGTTATGATGGAACCACTGGTTGACCAGTTGCCACGATGCACACTGACCACCAGGGGACAGACACTCAATGTAGGAACTGCGGCCCCCCCGCCCCCCTGTCAGTGTGCTCCAACAGGGGGAGTGCTGTTCATCCAGAAGCCAGGCTCATAGCTGGCGAGTGCAGCTGTGGCAGCGGGAGCCTCTCCTGTTCAGCAGCAGCATATTGAGCTGTGGCAACAGGTGCGGTGGGTCGGGCTCCAACCTGGCTGCCTGCCACTTGGCACACTGCTCTGTCTCCTGAGGGGTCCTGGATTGGGAGAGGGTGCAGGCCGGGCTGAGGGTGCAGGCCAGGCTGAGGGGCCTGCACCCTCTCGCAATCCAGAATCCTCCCTCCCAAAACTTGTGCACCAGGCTTCTTGTATTCTTAAAAATGAAAGGCATTTTAACAGCGCACCTCTGACCTCTCAACCATAAGAAATGAACTATAAATTATGCTGACTGTATTATGGTAAACAACTCATTAAGGTTTTGCAGATGTTAACCAAGATAGATCTTTCTCTTTTGTTCTTGGTGATTTATATATCAAGGACATTGTTGTTTTAGAAAAAACAAACAAATAAAATGTGGAAACCAAAGTCTATTTCAACTAGGCAGTTATTCATTTTGGTGTGTAGGAGAAAGTCCTTAAAGCTGAAAATCTCGTTATGATAGTGTATTGCTTTCTTGGAAGGCTGACAATTGTGATTTAGTTTAGTTTTGATTTGGATTTAGTTTTGCTCAAAGCAGGAATTGGAAACGCTTTAACTATGAAATGTAGATGTACTTTTGTTTTCATCAGTGAATAGAATTACACAGTTGTGAGTTTTTGGGTTTGTCACACATTTAATAACTATTTATTGAACACCTGTTACGTTGCAAGAGCTAGGGCTGCAGTGCCCCTCAGAGTCCAGTGGAACTAGTAGTAACTGCTTGGGCTCAGAGAGACTTTCAGTAGAAATGCTGGAGCCAGCAGCCTCTAAAAGAAAGCTTACATCCGGCCAGCAAGAGGTCAGCCAATGGCTTTGCCTCTGAGAGCTGTGGAATGCAAGCTTTACATATACTTAACATGAAGAGAGGTGTGCTCTTCCTGAAAATACTGTTTTAAAAGTTGAAAGCAATGCTCTCGCAAAACTCAAAACCTCCCTTGAAATTATTTTACTCGGAGCATTGAACCACGGTTTAGGAATTCTTCTTGTCAATGATTTAAACTTGAATATACGTTGTGGGTTGGGGAGGAGTAGAGAGAGAATCCATTGTTGTGCACATGTGTTCCAGAAGCTGGAGTCATGGCAGGTTTCCACCTGCTGGCTCCTGGCTCCCGGCGTGTCTGGTGGAGTGGGCAGAAGTGGACCATCAGTCATACTCATCCAGTGTTTCCACAATGTGGCCCAAGGGAGTACTCTAGGAGAATCTGATGAAAGAACAGACTTTAGCCTGGGAGCCTAAGGGAATTATTAAATGGTTTTAATGAGGGGAGTGGTTAACTTGCATTTTGAACATTTTAATCTGGGCTTGGTGTGGAGAATAAATTAGAAATGATGCACAATTGGAAGCAGGAAAAACATGGAGATGTGTAGTTTAGGAAAAAGGAAACGAAGGCTGAAAATAAGGAGTGAATTGAGAAAATTTTCCTAAGGGGCAGACATCTACACTGATAAAAGAGAAACATGCAAAGTGACCATCACTTTGAAACACCCACCAACCAATCAAGAGTGAGTATGCAAATTAATGGCACAAATATGGTGGCGGCCAAAGAGCCAGCCAATGTTATTGGGAGGCTTTGATCACCCCTGCAATGGAGGAAGCCATGTTTTCCATCTACCTGGCCCTGCTGCCGAAGCAGGGGCCTGCGAGCAGAGGACACGGCACCTGCCCAAGTGGTGTAGGAGACTTGGGTCGCTGTCGCCTGAGCCGGCCGCCGAGAAGGGTCCTGCAAATAGCCCTCAGCCCCTTACCCAGGCTGGCCAGGCTCCCATGGGCTGAGGGTCCCCACTGGGGCAATTGCCAGCCTGCAAACAGCCATCAGCCCCTCACCCAGGCTGGCCACGCCCCCTAATGGGTACCCTCACTCCATGGGGGCATGTCTGGCCTGCAAACTGCCCCAGCCCCTTGCTCAGGCCAGCACTATTCCCAGTGGGGACCCCCACCCCAATGGGGATGTGGCCGGGGGGGGGCAGTTGGGGGTGATCAGGCTGGCGGGGGGCATTTGGAGGTGAGTAGGCCAGCATGCAGAGTGGTTAGAGGCAATCAGATAGGCAGGCATGTGAGCAGTTAGGAGCCAGCATTCCTGGATTGTGAGAGGGATGTCCAACTGCCTGTTTAGGCCCAATCCCACAGGGACCGCACCTAAATTGGCAGTCAGACATCCCTTGAGGGGTCCCAGATTGGAGAGGGTACAGGTTGGGCTGAGGGACACCCCCATGCATGAATTTTGTGCACTAGGCCACTAGTCTATTCTAATAAAAGGGTAATATGCTAGTTAGACTAGACATTTTCCTACCATCCAATTTCCTTCCTGACAAAGCCATGGTGGTGGAGACTGAGGCAGAAGTGGTTAGGAATGATTAGGCCAGCTGGGGAGGGCAGTTGGGGGCCATTAGGCCGGCAGGAGAGTGGTCAGGTGGCAATCAAGCCAGTAGGCAGGCAAGCTGTTAGGAGCTAGCAGTCCTGGATTGCGAGAGGGATATTTGACTGCCCGTTTAAACTGGCAGTTGGACATCCCCTGAGGGGGTCCTGGATGCAGGCCGGGCTGAGGGACACCCCCCCCTCCCCCCCCCGCACGGATTTTGTGCACCAGGCTTCTAGTTTAAAGATAGTTTGCTGTTATTGAGGTGTGGGTTTTTTTTGTTTGTTTGTTTTGTTTTGTTTTGTTTTTCATTTAGAAAAGATGGTTTGATTAGCAAGCATGCGGTATAGATTGACAGAAGTAACTAAAGAAAATCCAGTCTGTGTGTTCCATCTATTTTCAGAAAATTGACTTTTGAAATATCTAGATAAATTATTTTAATTTTTTCAGAGCATAGCATTGGTTCTGAGACATGAAATTTCTGAAATAATAAAAATGACATTTTGTAAAGGGATTTGGCATTAGCAGGTATAGAGTGTATTAAAGTGTTTTGTTTGTAATACTTTGGTAACATTTTATAGCATTTCTTAGGGATACAGAGAATCTTTTGGTTGTGCTACAATAACAGCTGACTAATTGTCTGACTTAATTGTACTTTAAATTAGTCTATTACTTTGCTGACTTGCATAAAATTGGGAATATTTCTTCAGTATTGTTATTAGATCTGATTTAATAAAAATGACTTCACATGTGGCATTTTGTTCAACATTATATTTATTAGATGTTTTAAAGGGCATGGTTTTATTTTATTTGTATAATATTGAAAATTAGGCTTGATGAATTAAATGTCTGTTTTTAGATAATTTTAATTAATGTATGAAATAGTTATAGAGGACAGACACCCTATATAAAACCAAAGGATATCTTTCAGTTTGTTGCTTGTCTAAAGGAAAGTTCTCTTTTGTGAATTGTCAAGTGATTTGTTAGTAGGATACAAGAACTCTTTTGGCAATTGAATCCAGAAGAAATTTATCTTTTATTTTTGTTTTGGTATTTTATTAAAGTTACTTCAAGCTATCTAATTACTTAGGTAAATATTTTTAATTTCTTTGGGTCAAATTCTTATAGCCCAAGACAACTTTTTTAAGAATGGAGAGAAAAATGGATATAGAGATATACTTAATATTATTGCAGTGAAGTCCACCAGAGGCTCACAGTTCATGATTCTACTGTGAACCTGATGCACAGCATTTAAGAATAAGGCTTTGGCTCTCACATTTTGTCTCCTAGGTCAATTTGGCATCGTATGCCAATATTAAATATTTTGAGTTCCTCTTTTTCTGTGTAAAAGCTCTTCTTAGTCTCTTATAGTAATGTGGTTGTCAAAACGGAGGAATGGATGGTAGCGTGTGTGCTTCTGCACGTAACCAATTTCACAGTGGCTTAGCTAGAAATGAATGTCTCTCTCCCCCATTTTTTCATCATCCCAGGGTTCAGTGCTACAAGATTGGTTGCTATAAATTTAGGAGTTTTCCATTTTTATTTACAAAGATAATATTTTCATGACTAGAGGCCTTTTCATGAACTCAGATATTATTCTTTGTTTTACCTCCTTTTCTTTACTTGTAAACTCAATGACATACCCTACAAACTTAGAACCATAGAGCTAGCTTGGATCATGTAATGTATCAGCTTTCTACACAATTCTCCGATTTTAAAAAAAGAAAATGGTCCTTGCGTTTTAAGGGCCCCATTTCTCTCTGCCTCCCCACCCCTATTTTGCATTCAGTGTTTAGACCTGTTTATATTTGGCCTTTGCTCTTCTGACTAACCTTATTCTCTGCTTCTAGTTAACAGCCCGGTCCTTGCCTGCTGTGCAGTCCGATGAGAGACTACAGCCTCTGCTTAACCACCTCAGGTAAATGAGGGCGCCACTGCCCTGTCATGCTTCTAAGTGAGCGGGCCTTACAATGAGGAAAGCATATTAAAGTGGGTGAAACCCCTTCAGTTACCAAAAGCTTCTTTTTTTTTTTCTTGGTTTAATTCATTTATTTAAGTTGAATTTTTAATACAATACACTTATGATCCTTGACTTTTAGGTACTATAGAAAGCTGTTTTAATTTAATAAAAGTATACAGAACTAGTTGACAAGTTTAAATTAAAATGAGTAGAGATGACCAGCTACAAGAAAATAACGAAGGAATGAGCTTTACTTAAATATAAGGCCAACACATACTTTTGGACCCCCACATATTTTATGGGGCTTAGGAGAAACAGGGATTTGCTTTTCAAATACAACAATAATGTATCTTAATTTAAAAACAACAACACAAACTTAGAAAATACAAGAGGGTAAAGAGAAAACTAATCAGCACTACTCAGAATAATTCTCTTATAATGTTTTAAAACCCAGTGTTGAAATTATACTTTTGTATAATTTGCTATTTTTTCCTTTTAAAATAAAAATTGTAAGAATTTGTTAGTTATTTGAATCTCTCCAAAAATATATTTTTAGTGACTGCATGAAGTTTTCTTGTATAGATATACTGTAGTATATTTATCCCCTTAGGGGGACATTTAGACAATTTCCAGTTATTTTCACTAGTATAAAAAATGTCATATGTATACCTTTATTTGTGTTTTTGACCATTCTTTCATATAGATTTTCAAAAGTGGAATTATTTTGTCAAACCATATGAGCCATTTAAAAGATTTAAGTATACTTTTTTTTTTTTTTAACCACAAAACAAAACCTTATTCTAGCCCTTCCTAGTATGGCTTAGTTGGTTGGATCTCATCCAGCACACTGAAAGTTTTGCTGGCTCAATTCTCAGTCAAGGCACAATCTTTGGTAGGGTGTGTAAGGAGGCTGATGATCAATGTTTTTCTAACCCTCCCTCTCTAAAAATCAACAAAAACAAGTGAAAAATTCTTTAAACAATAAAGATTAAAAAAAACACAAAACCAAACCTATTCTTTAAAAACACAAACACCTTATTCTGCCTGTACTTTCATATTGTATCAGATTGCCCATGTTACTGTCCCCTAAACTAGCTGGGACAACCAAAACATTGCTAACTTAATAGTTAGTCATAAAGATACTATTGTGATCCTGTACATTTCACTTATTATTAATAATTTTAAAACATTATAATCTTAAAACATTTTTATTTTGGGGTGGGATTAACTATCTATTTTTGCCCCATTTATTGATAGCATCTCTTGATTTTTATTTGATCTTAAGTACTTTAGATATAAAGGATATTATTTCTTCATTGTGTTTGTTACAAAATTTTTTTCCCTGCAATTATTTTTTATTATGTTGCATTATTCACCATACCTAAAATTTCAAGTTTTATATAACCAAGCACCAATCATCTTTTTTTTATTCTTTTAAAACTGAGAATGCCACTTCTAGTTTATAAATTTGGAAGAATACTAATTTCCAGTATCTTTTAATATTCTTTATTTTTTCTCCTTCCTTCCCTTCTCATTTCTCTTCCTCTCCTACCCTTCTCTCTAGTAACTTTTCCTTTTCAGGCAGATACTTTTAACTCTGTATAACTATTTTTTTTTGGGGGGGGGATAGTGGTGGTCAGACTAACATTTCATCAGGTCTGAGTATCATAAATATTACACCTAGTTGTTAAATTTTTCTAGAGCATTGTGGTAGGGAATCATATTTGAATCACTTCCCTAACCCCCTCTCCAGCTTGTTCTAATCTGCTAATGATTTTATCTCTCGAGTATCTGTCTTCCTAGAGTAGCTTCTTATCTGTTCTCCTTGACACCAGTTTTGCCTTCTCTAAAATATATCACATTAGTGCCAGCGTGATTATATTGTTTCCTGGCTTTAAACTATTCTATCCCCTCAATTTCATTTTGGATGAAGTCTGAACTTCTTAGCCTGACATAGGAGGTTCTTCTGGAAGGATTCTGGCTTGTTTCTTTGGACTCTTCGTTTAGTACCAGTACCCCAACTTCTAATGCCACTAAATGCCTTAAAGTTGCTCTAAGACAGCACACTTACTCACCTCTGTGCCCTTGTAAATATTTTCCTTCTGCCTGGAATGTTCCCTCCCCTTCGCCAATTTTATAATTTGACTAACTTTGGCTTGTCCTTTAACATATGGCTCATGTTCCCATTTAGTCCCCATCCCCTTCTCCTCAGTTAGCATTTAATGTTTTTTATATGTATTTCTACAATACCCTATGGCTACATCTGTATTACAGAACTTATGATGTTGTAATTGTCTGTTTACTTGTCTGATTACTCAATTAAAATGAGCTGTTGAGAGCTTGGGAAGTGACTTTCATATTTGTGTTTCCAGTGGCTGTGACATGATAGGTATTTAATATGTTGAGTGAATGAATGTGTCTTTTAGCATTAATGTTTTGCTTTTACTTATGTATAGTTTTATAATTTATAAATCACATTGTCATAGTATTTCCTATAAAACCACTGGTATCAAAGGTATAAACCTAAAAGGGCTGAATCATACCTCTAGTTAATGCTCAATTCTGTGCGATAATGATGGATTTTCCTGCCTCCACCTCAGTATGGTAATTGTCAACTAGAATTTAGATTAACTACTGGCATGCCTCTTCGAGTCCTTGAAACTTGCAGAAACTGTACATTCGTTTGGGCGTTCATTCTCCATGCAGTTCACTCAGGACTGGTTGCTAGGCAACCAGGTCTAGATGCTACATGTAATATGCACCAACTGGTGTTGCTTTTTTATTATTATTAAACCAAATGGTTTCTCATTTTATTACCATGTCAACGACATCTGTATGGAGGGTGACAGTTGATGTGCATAGCTTGACATTTCCTGTTGTACAAAGTAACCTTGTGATGTGGCTTTCAATCATGTTGGATTGTCTCTTTCGGCTCTCTGAATAAAATGTTTTTCTTTTACCTTCCTTTTACCTTCTTTAGGTCAAAATAGGAATGCATACTATTTGGTTTGAGAAATTCTAATGATAATCTTGTTAGGGAACAATAATCATCATTGATTTGCATGAACTGTAATGTTTAATGTTACCTAGAGGGGATGGACAGGAGGTTGAGACTCAAATCATTATTAGGTCTAATTTTGTTCAGGGCCCTAATGATCAAAGTGGAATGATGAATAGCATTTTAATTAAATTTGTCAATAAAACTAATTTAGGATGATGGTACAAATACCTTTAAAAATTGAAGTAGCAATGCAGAGAAATTCTCAAATCATTTTTACAGGATTTAAAGACTCAAAGATACAACATTTTGCAACCCTAAAAACCCTAGATATTGTTTAATAATATATATTATTTCCAGAATACAGATACTATAGTTTTCTAGTCAAAAGTTAAACTAAGCACAGAAAAACATTTTGCTTTAATATCTTAGGGAAATACAAACTTAATTTTATTCATTAGTAGCATCCATCTATTTATTAATAAAAGTGAGCCTATTATTTGGTTGGAATTTAAAAGATAAACAATTTCTTTTCTCAAGGAATTTACAGTTTTGATTTCATTTGAAAGATAGACACTTAAACATATAACAAAGTTTGTAAACCTTTCTATCTAGAATTAAGGACAAAGTACTTAATGTTATGAATTGAACTGTGTGCCCCCTGCAGTTATTTCCTTAAGCAATAGTGCTATGACTTCCTGGTTTAGGATTCCTTACTCTTAGCACTGTCGTGTCCCCCAGTGGGTATGCAGATTGGCCTGAACTTTCATCTCACTTGGGTGGTGATGTTGTCTTAACTAAGAATAATAATAAAGGAAGACAAGGGATTAGGGAATGAAGGTGACTACTGAGATTATAAATTTAGTAGTTTCAGACATTTTAAATTTGAGTTGCCTGTGGAGCATATGCATGGGCAGGGGATGTTTAGTAAGTAGCTGAATATAAACCATAGTGTAAGAGTGAGGTTTATACCAGAGAGAGACATTTGCTAACCATCAGTATATAGGTGCTGGTTAAAATCAGAGGAATGGTTGACATTACTGAGGGAGAGAGTACAGAGTAACAACAAAGGGGAAGTGTCTCTGAATAGAAGATGTAGAACACCAGTGTTAAGTGACTTTGATGGGCAGCAATGGAAGGAGGAAACAAGTTGCAAGAGAAAACTCAGTAAAAATACCAGGAAGGAATCTTGAATGAGACGGGAACACAGCAAAGGATAGTGGTGTCAAAAATACTAAGGGGAAGATTTTTAAAAAGAAAGGCAAACACTGTCAAACGCCCTAGGAAAGTCAGGTCTGAACTACATGGTGTCAGTTGGATTAGGCACACGGGAGCCACTGGCGGCGTAGCCACACATTGTGATGTTACAGAGGCAAGTCTGATTCCCTGAGGAGCCTAAGAGTAAATGAGAATCCAGGCTGTGAAGATGCAGGATGTGTAGGCTGCTCTTGGTAGAGCAGGGGAGGTAAGAGAACTCTATCCTCTTCCAATGAGCTTCATGGTTGAAGAAGTGGCTTACTTTTCCTTAAGATTGAAAAGGTGAGCCCATTTATAGATTAAGTGGGAAATTATATCTCTGGCAGTAAGATGAAATAATTGAAGAGGGAAGTTATTAGAAGAGGTAAAAAGAGATGGGATCAAGAAATCAAAATGGCAAGAACGTACAAAGTACTTTAGTTTATATTCAGAAAAACTCAGTGAAGGCAATAGGTGATAATTTATTATTATCCCTCTTTTAAAGTTTGCTGATGGAGCCTCAGGAAATTAATGTTAAAATTTGATTTGTTAAGTGAACTATGCTTCCTCAAAAGAGATGCATGGATTATTTTATAAGACTTGACTACTTTTGAAAATTTATGCCCAAAACTTCTCCATTGGAAGAAATAAACTTGCTTAGATTTACCCCAAAATGTCAAATTCTGGTGTCAGAGAGAATTTGTGTAAACCATTGTTTCTGTTT